CCTGATACTTCTTCGAAGCGATGGTATTTACCACATTTCGGAGTGACTAATGTAAATAAGCCCGGTAAGCTACGCATCGTGCACGATGCTGCAGCACGGACAAATGGAGTAAGTTTGAATTCACTTTTATTGCCAGGGCCAGATATTTTACAGTCGTTATTAGGGATATTACTCAAATTTCGCGAAGGAAAAGTAGCTTTAACGGGAGATATTAGAGAGATGTTCTCCCAAATAAAGATTCGTGACCAGGATCGCGATCGTCAGAGATACCTGTGGCGAAACGACATCGATGTCTTAGTCAAAGAATACAGAATGTCGTCTTCAATTTTTGGTGCTTGTTGTTCCCCATTTATGTATATAAAGAATAGAAACGCTAAGCATTTTGAGGCTGAGTATCCAGAGGCAGTGAAGGCAATAATAGAAAACCATTACATGGATGATTATCTTCAAAGCTTTGATGATGTTAAGCATGCTGCACAAGTCGCAGCCGATGTAGTTCACATACACAGCCAATGCAGTTCACATACACAGCCAATGCGGCTTTGAAATGCGTTCGTGGGTATCTAATAATCCCAAAGCCCTCGAGCTTTTGCCGCCTCATTTAATTAATCAAAACGTTAATTCTGTTGACATGAATTTAGAGAATTCTAGTTTACGAGTTTTGGGAATGCATTGGGTCCCGCATCTTGATGTTTTTATATTTAAAATTAATGTTACACAACCCTTTTTAGAAGAGTTGACTAAGCGTCAAGTCCTTAAAGAATTGATGAAAGTTTTTGATCCCTTAGGCTTTCTGTGCCCCATCATCACCTCAGGAAAGATACTGTTTCAAAAAACTTGGCATTCAGTAAAGGATTGGGATCAGATTCTTCCTGTAGATCAACAAGATATGTGGGGGGCTTGGTTCCATTGCATAATATCAGCTAAATCGTTAGTAATGCCTCGCTGCTATTTTTCTACCGTGGGTCCGGTTGCGCGAGAGTTACATGTCTTTACTGACGCGAGTAATCAAGCTTACGCGTGTGTCGCCTACTGGCGTTTTGTTTATTCTGACGAGTCAGTAAAAGTGGCGTTTGTTATGAGTAAGTCGCGAGTCGCGCCACTGAAACCTGTTTCAGTGCCTCGACTCGAGCTTCAAGCCGCGTTGTTAGGTGTAAAAATGGCCAGGACGATTTGTGAACAGCAAGGATTTTCACCCACGAAAAGATTTTTTCGGTGCGATTCAAAAACCGTCCTTGCCTGGATTCGGGGAGCGGCCAGCGATTCAAACCCATTTATACGAAATCGCGTTGGTGAAATTTCGGAATTTCTAGAATGTGTCGATCGGCGTATATAAGCGCGATTGGCGCCGCGCAGAGACAGCTGAGTTTCAACAGCGATTTCGGAGCGTTAGTTACCAAAGGCGATCAAAGTGCAACAAAACTGTTCAAGTGCGATTGTTTAGAGACTTGTATAGTGAAATACAGTGTTTAGTGAGTGTTTTGTAATTAACATTGTGTGTTAATTGTGTGAACTGAGTGGTGAATACAGAACTGTCAAGCGTGAACTGGCATATAATTTCGAACCCCATCCCGAAACGTAACACTATATATGTTCCGCGATTTTTCTTAGTTTTCGAGTTATAATTTTTTTTGTGTATTTTTAATGATTCATCTGAGAGATATGCCAGCGAGGTTTCAAAAATTCATATCTTGTTTCGTAGGTATTTTGCAGTCATTTTTGTGACTTAATTGTCTTGAATGTTGTTTTAATAAAAAAACTCAGCTTTCTGAAATTACTTAAAGTTACTCAAAAAAAACTTGAAAGTTGGAACTTTAGTTTTCAGTAGATTTACTCCAACATTCAACTTCAATTTAAAAATACAAAAAGGAGTTTCCATAGCTTCTGTATAAGTATGGAATAAGTTTAAAAACTCCGCAAGCTTCTAAACTGCCAAAAATCATAAAAAAATGTACTTATTCAGCCTATTTTTGTTTTAATTGGCCTTCGAAGGCGGATTGGCTAAAAATCATTGAAACGCGATTAAAGCATTAAGAACTATTTTATCTACTTTTTATCATTTTTATGTTAAATAAAACTTTAAAATATAGTTTCAAATTCAATTTAATTGAAATTCCTGTAAAATAACTTTAGCATGTGTAATTTTATAATAATTTCGGTCTCACCACTAAGATTAAAATGTGAGCAAGAATAATAACCAAAATGACTAAGCAAAAAGAAAAGCACAAATTACTGAAAAATGACTATTTATTACAGTAAATTTTCATAACTCCTTCCTTCAACCTAAATACACAATATTGACGACGCGACGTCTTAAAAAGTTATGTTTTAAAATTTACTGTAATAAATAGTAACTTTTCAGTAATTTGTGCTTTTTAAACATATTATAACTTAAAGTAGACTCACCATATGCAACTGTCATTATTTCAAGAGCTTTAGAGAACTTGATTTAAGTTTTTTCCATTATGTATTTCATTTAAGTTCTTTGCTCCAGTTTTTTCGATAGAAGAAAATCGCCGATCACACCAAACCATGGACTTATTAATGCACCAAACACTTCGACCCTTTAATGCCTTTGCTATAAAAAGTATATGCTTAATAGCCAATGATATTACATAGATATTCTAGCTAATACTACTCGATTATCCATATTTTATCCGTGAGAGAATAAGTAAGATCTGGCGATCTCGGGATGGGATCCTGTACTATCAATACGTCTGTGTCAATTTGACATTATTTTATGGGCTACACATAGTTTTAGTTAAATTAAGATAATTGCTGTAAGTGGACCTTGATACTTTAGGTATTAAGGTTTTCTGAAAGAAGACTTAATTTTTAATTGAAAAACATAACGAATTGCATTACTGGGATTCGTCCAGTGCAGGAGTGCTGTTTTTACTGGGTAGGACCCAGCTCATTTTTCATTTAGGCTGTTTTTCCTGATACATATAAGGCTCAGGTATGGTGGAAATACTTTACAAGGTGCAAGGTTGCCCCGCATATGTTATTCCGCCGCGCTTAGGGTTACTATTTAAAATTTTGAAAAGTCCTGACAAAAAGCCGGACATTTCGATAAAAGTCCGGACATTTAAGTCACAAAATGCAAACATCACCCACTTAGTTACAGTGATGTTATACGCGTAGCAGACGCTCGCATCGCGAGGGGGGTCTCGTTGTTGATTTTTAAATATGATTTATATTTTGTTTTAAATTAATGAGAACTTAATAAAGATTATTTGATATAGGTAACTTAATAAGTAGTTTTACTTAAAACCATCTAATTAAAAAAATCAGGACAAATTAAAAAAGCCGGACAAAAGGCATAAAGTCCAGACATGTCCGGACAAATCCGGACGGATGGTAACCCAAGTCACGCTCGACTACATCCAAAAATCCCTGCTTGGGTTTCCCTACCATTACAAAAGAAAATTACAAATGATATTTATATTTAATATTCCTTTGGAAATTTTAATTAAAATTTGGTAGTTTTAAGAAGGCAATATAAAAAATTAAATAATTTATATTAAGTCCATAAGATCTAGTTAACCTTTGACTTATGATAGATAAAATTATTACAATGTGACACTGACAGGAGTGTTGCTATATAATCGGATTTGTCCGTATCCATACGGAATTGTAACACTTAAGCTGGATAATTAGTGCATATGGATTTTTATACGGAATTGTCAAGAAAATGCAAACAACAGTTTATTAATATTTTTTAATCCCAATAAAATGATTCTAAATAAAACGGGACAATACACATCATTTCATCCTGCTTCAATACCAGTGATTTGTATTTTACCAGGCAAAAACACTGGTAATGTACAGATTATGGCTCGAAATATTTTGGTAGGTGATGACAATAAGAGAAACAATAAGTTTAAAATAGGTATTTTTTAGTATTTTGTTGAGTTATGAATGATTGTCTTAATTTTGTATACAGGGCGTCCCACGGCTACCTCGCACGGATGGAAAGTATATTAAATGAAGATAATTGTATGATCAATTACTTGTATAATCAATGATTGAAGATAGGATTTTTTTACTGAAAGATAAATTTGGCGCTTCAAAGCATATAATTTAAATGAATATTTTCGAAGATATTACAGATTTAAAATTCAGGGCTATAGCGGTTCCGACGCTACCGAGAGGGGAGCCTGGCGGTGGCGCGTGCCTATTGTAATTAGGTATTAGAAGAATGCCATTGTGTATAATACAAGCCTGAGAACAAAAACTATAGTCTACACCACAGCTCTACACAGAAGTGAAGCGAGGGGGATGGCCACTATTTATTTTTATAAATTTCAGCCAATCGCATTGAACTGTGAGTTCAAAAAGAAATGCATACGTACTACAGTTTGTATATCACTTTATTATTTTTATCACGTAATAAGACATTCCTTTCATTTAAAATGCTATGTTATTTAGTAAAAAATAATTGTTATGACTAACCCTTTCGATGCTTATCATAAAATATGTTGTGTTTATTTTTACGAAATTTCACGAGTTTGATTCTCATTTGTAGCAGGCGATTTTTAAAAATCTGTAAATGCAGTTCCAGTTATTATTAAAAATAAAACAATGTCTTCTTTCTGTAAAATATCCTATCTTCAATATTTAATATACTTTCCCTCCGTGTGAAGTAGCCGTGGGACGCTCTGTATACTACGGCATTATTGATTTACCATATACGAAGCCGTTATTGGCAGGTAAGCGATGTTTACAGCCCAGGAATTGTTTAAAATAACTCAATATTTATGAACAAATAAATTGGTTGACAATCTTATTTATTTTATAATTTCAATAAAAAACTATTGACAATCATAGACATTACTTACTTACGATAAAGTACATAATAACGTTTTTTATAATTTCTTGAAGGGCTCTTAATTATATTAATTAAGGGTAGGTTTAAATTTCTATACGGATTTCATACGGAATTCGGCAATGAAAATTACGGAAACACCGGCTAAAGGATCAGGCAACACAAACAGTGCCAATGACATTGACAGCAGGGAAAAACAGAGCCAGCCAGCACTCAATCAAATCACTCAATTTTTTATCAAATTATTTTAGGTTGTGGACTGTTTTATTCAATCTATTTAAAATGGTTCAGGATGGAGAACCTGACAATAATTTATTCAGAGCGTTTGTAAATGCTCTTTACAACACAGTAGATTCACCTGTAACATGGTTTCGTGGTACGAACTTTGTAAATGCAAAATTATGTTGTTATGTAAGAAATGATCCGATTAAAGTTTGCTCTTTGCTGCAGAAAAGATTGTGGAGCCAAACCAAAAAAAGTATCCTTGGTACCATCAGCAGTTCCGTCGAGTACCAACTATTGACCAATGCTACACCGACGACGTCCTTTGTGATTTTGAAGCAAATGTTCAGTTCAAACGTGATAGGTTAGTTTTTTATTTATATTGACTTGTAACAAAATCGTTATTAAAAAAAATTAAACCTTCCTAAATAAATCAAATAAAAATGTTGTCATTACTTTCAGAGCTGTTGATTCTGAAATATTAAGCATCCTAAGACAGCGCTATGAAGATTGTATGCTCTATGAAAGACCTGACCACCTCACAGTATGCAAACCACTTTGGGAAAAATACAAGGATGCTGAAGAAGCATGGTTTATCAAATGTTGGTATAAATTAGTATAGTATAGTATTTTAATAGAATATAATAATTTAAGTTGGTCAAGTAGCTTAGTTTTTGAGAACATTGCTTAGTATTTACAAATTTAATTCTAAAAAGAAATTGTAACCAGGAAATTATTATCTTGAGCTATATATCCTCCATGCTGCAAGAGGTACATAAAGTCATTAGTCCTGTCTTAGTAATAAGAAGTACCATTTGCACTGGGCCTGCATAGTTGGTAATCGAGTATTCTCTTCATTCTGTCCCCTAGGAAAGCCTCTAGGAAGCCAATAGACCCAGCTATGGGGACATTAATAAGCTGATGAATAGTACTTATACCGACAATGATGCATTTTGCATTCCAACCCCAGTAAAAGCCTTTTTCATAGACAGTCTAGTTTTTAAAACATTTTTGTAGATCATGACCCAACAATACTGTTTCCAGAGATTAATTTGGCCCCGAAAATTTATAACTGTCATATTGTTGGGATGTGGATATGTGTGTGAGATTTGTATTATCATCTGTACTTGTGGCAGCTACTCAGCTGCAAGTACCTATGGATAGAATGCAGTATAACCATGCAGAAGGACAGAAGAAAATTTAACCATAATGAATCCCTTTTATGTTGACAAACTGACCATAAGCATATATTGATGTTTTTGTTGGTTGACAATATACCACAGTTTTAATCACATTCTAAAATAAATAATAGATAACAACACATGCTACTGCTTCCTTGGTGAAAGAGGTTTTCCAGTCTCATGGTTATTTTGTTGAATTCATTAATATTCATCGTACCCCACATGAAGTGAATCTACATAATTAACTAAATAATGTGCTTTTAATTAGAACTATTTAAGGTCTTACTGTCAATTCAATTTTTCAGATGGTGATTTAGGTGCTTATGGTGATGCTCGTAAGGCATACATGAAGCAAAAACATCGCATGATTTGGGAAAGACGTTATGGCCCACTCTCTGACATGACCAAGTAAATATTTGTTAAAATGCATTATTGATCATTCTTATACATAAGTAGATATTGTCAAATGTAACAATATTAAAGTTAATAAATTCTAGTGAACATGTAATTTTTCTTTTAACCTGTTATTTTGAAATCGCAAATCAAACAAAGAGATACCTCAAAATATTGAAAATCACAACCTACTATCAATCTCGCACCTTAGATATGGATATGTGTAATTTATAAGGTTTGGTTGGGTTAGTGGATAAATGTATAAAAAATAAGGTTTCAAAAAATAACATTTATTTTCCAACACTACATTCATTTTTTTTCATGCAATACTGACAAGATTCTACTTTCTCATAAACATCGATTCTATGGTTGGAACTAACAAGAACTGAATGATCACAGAATAATGAAGATGTAGGAAAAATAATACTATAATCTTACATCTCCTCTTACTGTACTTGGTATACTTATTATCTACCTTAAATATAAAGAATTTGAAACTGTTATTGGTCACAAAAAGTAAAAACAGGATTCTTTCACAAAGTACTTAAATGTATCTGCTACAGTCTTAAGAAATTTAATAACTTACAATAATGTAACTATAGTAATTTCAAAATATGGACAGACTTTCTGCAAATTTTGAACGCAATTACATTTAAGAACTTACTTACACTTACAATATTTAGTACCGGTCACATTGATAAAAACATTTAAACTTACTACCTTGTTTCTGAAAGATCAACAAAATGTGCGTACTGTATGCGTTTAGTAATATCATAATAGGTTGCCGCCTACTACGATAAGAATAATAATAATAATGAATACTGTGTCCTTTGACACAAGAATAGACTCCAAAATATCAAAGTAACTATCATGTAGATCTTTCAGCCACTTGGTTTAATTACTTCTTTCTGTGCTACATTCAACTATTGGCCAATTTTTCTGTTATTCTCGAAATGCGGACTGGCAGTAAGTATATAAAATAAATAACATAAGATAATTTTGACAATATTTTCACGCAAATAAAAGGTCCTGCCTGCAATAATTAATTACATTATATTTTTCTTTCTTTAATATCGATGTTCCACATTAATAACGTAAAAATAAATATATTTTTCCAATTTGTTCCAATTATTTAATAAATTTAGAACAAATAATTATGTACACTATATACATACATAAGTTTTATAGTAATAATTTCGATCATCTACTTTCAATGAAATAGTATTTAACTAAAATGTAATAGTTGGAATTGGCATTTATTGGTACATTATGTATCACAGAAGTAATGCCTTACATTAAACATTTATAAAACTTAAGAACATTAATATAGTATTATTACTTACAAATTCTGTTCTTTTTGTATCTCTTTACAAATGTACCTATTGCACCTTATCACGAAATATATAATTTGGCAATGCCATAATAATAGTTCAACCAATATCATCTTATTTGAAAATAATAACTATTTATTAACATAAGTACAGAGATCGCATAAATCGGCAGTCCTTTTTAACAAATTTTGGAGCGTCATTACGCATGGTGCTTCCAATTCTAATATTTTTTACAAGTACCTATGTAAATAAATTATTTAAGTAGAGTTTTGATTAGATTCGCATTCTGATAAAATGTTTATTGGCATGGACCTTTCCAATTAGTGTTTTCTCTTATCTAAGTTACTAATTATATCTGTGATCCATCTTAAACACCAACAAGATTCTAGTATTCTATATTACAATATTTATATATATATAATTACATTGATACTTTACAAAATAATTATGCACAGATTATAATTGGAATTTCAAATAAAAAATGTGTCAAGGGCAGTCTATCAATGTGGAACCACGAAATTTTATATCCAAGAAAATAAAATTTATCATTGCACATTAGGCACAAGCATTTCATTAATTAAAGCAATACAAATCTTAATCTACACAATATATATTATAAAACATTTGAACGTTCTATAATTGACTTTATATTGTGGTTAGAGTTAAAGGCCAGTCGCAAAAGATTCTTTTCAAGTTCCTACCTCAGCTTTTGGAATTATACATTTTCAAACATTTATACAATGTAAATGTTATCTAAAAGTACATAAATTCGAAAGAGATATCTTTAGGACAAAAATTAATTCCTCTTTACAATAACAACCATTAAAATATACATATATATTTATTTAAATAAACTGTTAAGCCAAATTGCATGCACTTTAGATCGAGATCACATATCAAAGGATAAAATTTTTGACTAAAACCAACATATTATGATTTTAATTGTACTTTTGTTCGCATTCGAAAAATGTTATAAGCTATAATAATTATAGTTATATTTGTTTAACTTATACTATTCCTAACATAACTTTGAGCTTCGATTTATAAAACATGATATGTACAGTTCTGATGTAGTAAAAAAATAACCATGAAATAAATATACTTTAGATATATCGCACAATATATCAATCTGAAATTATAATAATTCATACATATCACTTTCGGATTCGATAGGAGTTAATGTTTCAGTCCCTCGTTTTTTTTATTTTCAGACTTAGATCTAAGAGTAAAAAATAAATGTCAAAAGATAAAATAATGATTGATTAACTATCAAAGGCATGTACAAGCTATATGTATTGTAATCAACGTTATATATGATAAAAATAAATTGACATGGAAAGACTAGAACATAATATAAATAAGTACTATTAAATTATATTCTCATAAATACGTCAAATTTTAAAAACGATATAAAAAAAAACAGAAAAGGGCAGATGACACTGCGGTAAGCGTATTTTTTGCACTATTGTCACGACGAAGTGATTAATGATAGCTCTCGTTCAGCTTCGTCCACAAAGTAATACAAGTATCATAGAATATTAAATGCTTTTTGCTAAGTTCTGTTTTTAGAGTTAACTTTATAGGCAAAATTATAATTGTGACTTTATTTTATAAATCCATTTTCAAATCGTGTAAAAGAACAGCCACATTTTATCGTATTTTTGTCGGTATTTTTATAGGCAACATCAAATGTATCAGGCAGGTATAAAGAAATAAATATGTTTTTACTGTGGATACTGTAAAAGGAAAAATGGAAAATGTCGACTACCCCATTAGTCAAAGAGAAACAGTGCATTATTTATAGGACAGACAAGGACGACGAACTTTATAACATTTTACGAATGCACTAAACGTTACTTAATCTAAAAAACACACAAAAATATACGCGCTCTAAAACATTATTGTTATAGACATCACATTTTTCAGGACACTTTTATTAGTCTAGATAATAAAATTCGTTTCAACCCTGAGTACAATCCTTTGACAGCTTCCATTATCGTGAGAACACATGCAATCTTCATTTTGATACTTAAAAAACATTGGAAAGGAATGCATCTTCGCTTAAGTAGCTTTGGTGGGAATAGGATTAAGAAGCATCGAAATGCGCTGCCAGCCGGATACGACCTGCGATACGAATATTAAGACAATTTTTACTATATGAACATTGTACCTTTTAAAAAAAAACAATAATTTGATATTTAATAAACACTCACGTTTCTCGTGATTGAGAAATGCAGGAGCAGGTAATGCGCTGGCTGGAGGAGAGCACCAAATATTGCCTCTAGGAGATTCAAACACTCGAGATCCCTGGTAACAAAACAAATTCCGTTTTTTAATAATTTCTTTGGCGCGTTTCTAATAATTGAAGGAGAATCGCACGAATATAGGTCGTACGAAACCGCAATCTAACATGAGAATCATGGAGAAGTATAAGTGTTGCAGCAAATATAGAACATGAGAATATCTTAATCTTAACAACTGATAAATGCCTGCATCCTTCTATCTTATATTTTGAAGTCCAAATTTATTTATATCAAGAAAAAATGTTTACTGGAAAGAGTCCACTCAGCTTGGGATCGAACTAACATTATTCGTTATTCGCGGGAATGCATTGACCATTATACTACCAAGACCCTATGTGAGCTAAATTTCGTCCAAATCTGTCCTAGTTCTTAGTTATTGCTTGATTAAATTAAGCTGGGTCGCCAGTGAATGCTTTGCCCTACACAATCAACATTAAACAAAATCATCTCGTCATTCACAAAACTTAGTTACTACACATATTTGTTTGCATCAATAGTTTTTGCTTTTATACACAAATCCCCCTCGCACGGGTCGAGGGGCAAGGTATTATAACTCGCTAGCGGGGACTCCGTTCCAAACCTACGCTCTGATTACAACTTTTCACTCTGACGTTTAAATTTTGACATAAAATCTACGAAACTTTTGTCACATTGACAATTGTTGCAACTGGACCGTAGTTTTTGAACGCAGCCCCCTGTATTTTGTGTACGGACAGTCACGCGAGCAGCAGACAGCGTGTGTAGAGAAACATGTTTCCGCAACAAAGTTTTATGTATATGTTTTTGTTGAATGTTTTCTAAAAACATTTTGCTGGAGACCTGGCTTTACAAACACAAACTTTCACAACTAAAAAAAATAGCGAGTTTGCTTATGACCACACGTCTGAACTGAAACTTCTTTAGCTCCAATAATGTGAATATCATAAACTTAACCTGAAGATAGAAAAAAAAACACCAATCCGCGCTTGGTCCGTTATCACCCTCCAATCCACACTGGATCCATTATCACCCACCAATCCGCGCCGAGTCCGTTATCACCCACTAATCCGCACTGGGTCCCTTATTATCCACCAATCCGCACTGGGTCCGTTATCATCCGCACTGAGTCCGTTATCACCCACCTATCCGCACTGGGACCGTTATTATCCACCAATCCGCACTGGGTCCGTTATCATCCGCACTGGGTCAGTTATCATCCGCACTGGGTCCGTTATCACCCACCTATCCGCACTGGGACCGGATTGGTGGGTACCAATCCGAACTGGGTCCATTGTCACCCACCAATCCGCGCTGGGTCCTATCACCCACCAAGCACTAGATTGCCACTAATGTATCTTGAGATTTAGGTGGAAAATAATACGACTGTTTGATTTCGTGACTATATTTCGACTACAGGACGTTTAGAGAATACACACACATATTCGAGGCGTACCCTCGTATTATATATAAATAATACCCACTATACTACACCGATGAGTCACCGATGACAATAATAGTAACGCGAAATTGTAACATTCTCCAGTTTACCCCCCAAGTCAAGCGTGCCTAAAGAAGTTTCTCTTCAAAAATAGGATAAATTAACAATCATCAGTTAAATACTTATGTAGTTCCAAATTATTTTCACCGTTACCTTTTGTCCGGGCGGCGTATCGTAGACAGAATAGTCTACGTGCTCCGCGTTGCCGCACCGGAACACGGTTACGCCCTCGCACAGTTTCCAGCACCCGGGCCTCGCTTCAACGAACATTTCGCGGTACTGACGGAGGAATTCTAGTACGCCGTCGACGCCTACATAAAATCAAAAATCATTCATTCAGTCTAGGCTGTTACACATCGGTTCGCAAAACTACGGCGGGAGACCTTGTAATGAGAAGAACCGGCAAGAAACTCTGAAAGGGCGGTTTTTTCTCCGTGTATTGATATATACAGAGTCGTCAAGTTAAATGACTTCAGAGATACTTCTGAAGTCATCTTCCATTACATCATTTAGAATATATTAATATAGTTACAATAAATTTTATAGTTAACTTTATATTTAGTATATATGAAGCGGCATTAATAATTATAAGGAATATAAATTTGATACACTGAAGTAAAAAAAGAATCTTCAAACAACTAATCCTAAATATTACACATAATTATTCACGTTTTACATAACATTTCCTTTTTTTTCTCTTTAATTTGGCTTTGACTTATTTTAACAATTAATACGTTAGTGTTTGATTCGGTGAGATATTTACCCTATGATCTTTTTATTTCATGCAAGTCACCATCTTTCTGAAAACAAAATTCTTGTAACCCATATAACTAATCCGATAGACTGTAACACAAACACTTTTCCTACATTTATTGGGGATAGAATTTGTAACCTCGGATGAAGAAATCGTCAAGTATGCAAGCCACTCTCGTGTATTTATAAACCCACTTTGTATTTAACATACAAATGAGAGGGTCATAGGGGTGGCATATGAAAGCGACTATAAATTACTATCTAATACATCGTTTTTTTAGTTAAGAATTGGAGAAAAGTTAGCAGCTGGCCCACTGTAGTTTCTTTTTCAATTCTAGTCCAGCTAAATTGTACACAAAAATACACAAGGGGGGAAACATTAATATGTCATTTACAAGATCGACTTACCCAACTCTGCGCTAGGGAACATCGGCTCGAAGCGTGTGGTATAATCCTCGTAAATATCCATAGAAGTCAACGGGGCCGTCGCATCCGCCAATATTTGAGCGACGCGCCACACAGCGCGCCAAGGGGCCGTCAATTTAATGCACCGATCCGAAGTCTCAACCACGCCGGCGTTCATTAAGTTCCATAGGTCCGGTTCGGTGCCTCGCAGGCGGCGGTAAGCGGTGATAAAGTAGTCTTCGGTGGAGCCGCGGGCTACGCTCCTATCTGCTGATAGGACTGCGCAAGCGGCTAGTATGGAGGTAGACCAGCGGGGGGAATCCCCTGGAGGTCGGACGGCCCCGCCTTCAATGCAGCCCCCTGCTGCGTACACTAGCGCTTCTATTGAAGACACGTCTAGTATATCCGGCTGTATGAACAATGACATATAAAACTGATTAAATACGAGTTTTGAACTTATTTTGATGCATAAAGGTATAAGAATAGAGGGGGGAAGGCGCCTCTAAAAGTATCCGTCTAGTAGAAAGAGGAAGAAGATGAGAGACCGCTAGCTATCTCTATCTCTTGTGACGCATGGCATCCAATGGCATCACATCGAAATAGTAAGATGCTTACGGTTGCTAATGCGCATGCGCGATTAGAGAGAGAAAGCTAGCGGTCTATCTTCTTTCTCTTTCTATTAGAGGGACACTTCCACTTGTAGTAGTCTATATCTCCCCTAATCTATTCTTATACCTCTGTTTTGATGCCGGTACATCATATGGCTATATATGGCTATTCGTATTTGCTATTTGTCATTTTGACAGCAGGTTGTCCAAATCATACTTTATAGTCCAAATCATACTATAAAGTATGATTTGGACTGTTTTTAAGTTTACAAACAGCAAATACGAATAGCCATGTGAAGTGCCAGTGTGAATAATATTATCACGATATGTGGCTTAGGGCTGGTGTAATAAAGTGTTCAAAGTAAATACAAATTGGAAACATGCAATGATTATGTACAAGCCTATACAGCAACCTTGCGACAGTATGTTTGCCATAGTTAAACTACAATAATCGATCTTGATGAGACATTGCTCTATGACTATTGTATGTAATTAACTGTATCTCTATTATTTACCCGTATTATCACCTGACAGATTAAGCCCCCCCCCCCCCCCCAAACTCTAGTCTAAGTTGGAGTATAGCCTGTATTTCCTATAGGAAGTCTTGTGCCCCAGCAATGAGGACATTAAGATACCTAAAGGTTAAGAAACAAAAGTTACAAACCTGCGGTGGAGCTCCAAATTGCACGGAATACTGGGTCGGGAATGTCGCCAAAGGCAACGCCCCGATGGCCCTGAGCCTCTGGCCCATCACAGTCTTGGCCGTGGCAGGCGCTAGCCTCACGCATCTCTCTCCACTTGTTTCCAAGGAAACAGACACCGTTTCCGGTATCAGTTCGAATAGTTCTACGAGTTTCACGCAACCGTAGTGGGCTACGCGCAACTGGCGGCCGAAGTGGGCGTGATACGCGGGAACGAAACGCGAGAACTCCATACGTAGGTTGGGCGTGTAGCAAAGCAGTTCCACGGCCTGGATGAAAATAGAACGGTTTTCGGTACTGTGTTTTCTTTGTATATCCAAAGAGCTGTGAATGATACAATTTACTCGAGATAGCTCGGTAGTAGTCACTGGTTTAATAACGAAAGGATTTAAAAAAGGCTGCGTCTGTCAGCACCCAAGCTGTATCTCATAAACCATTGATATAAAAATCTAGTAGCTTACTGGTTGTAATAAAAAATCGAGTGTGCTTATGACTACACGACTAAAGTGAAACTTCTTTAGCTCCAGCTGTATGTATATATGTGTGTATGTGTACAATATATACATGTATGTACATATACATATTTATAAAAAACATTCTTTCTATTATAGCTAGTAAATGAAATCATTAACTAGCTATAAGAGAAAGAAAGAAAATGTGCCGTTCGCCTCGCCCGAACACAATTTTCGTAGCGTACGTTTTCGTAACCTATTCGACAGCTTACCCCCCAAGTCAAGCGTGCGTAAAGAAGTTTCACTTCAAAAATATTAAATATAATTAAAATGACAAATTGCAAAGACAAACAGCTGTGTGGAGTGCTCGCTAGCATTACAGGCAGTCCTCGACTTACGTCGTTTGAAGTTACGTCGAACAGTGTTTTGACACTATTCCTCAAGTATACGTCAATTGTTTCGATTTCTGGCACAGGAGAATTCACTTGTCTCGAGGATAATGTTCGTAGGGCCGGCGTCCGTGGGGATGTCACGAATTACGTCGTTTTGCTTAACGTCGCGTATTTGGAAAACCTAACATGCCGTAAGTACGAGGACTGCCTGTACAAATATACGAATAAAAGTTTGATATTAATTATTTAAACTTTATTGCCAAACATAAGCAAACGGCGGACTTAATGCCATAGGCATTCTCTACCAGTCAACCAGTATATGATTGGCTTGATATTCTAAATTAAACTTACCTCTAAAGCGAATTGTCCCGTCCGAGCGCGTTCCTCGGGCGTAGGCGTTCGTCTCGGCAACGAAATCGTTCCATCAGTTCCGATAGTCACCGATTGGGGCGCCACTCTCTGTATCAATTCGTTTAACGTGCAAACCCCATAATCTACAGTGGAGAACGGTTTCCCGAACGTTTCTTGGTACAACTGAGCTATGTCTAGGGGTAGAATGGCGCGACCGGGTTGAGCTTTCAGTAGTTTTACGAGGTCTGAAGTCCAACGGCGGCTTTGCGCAGAGGCCGATATCGTGATGATGCGAGACGAGCCTGAGCCTAGTACCTGGTAACAATAGTTTTATTTCAAAAAGGAAGATGACTAAATTTAGATTATCAGAAAGCCTGCGCTGCGTTAAGTTAGAGCAGGGATCGAACGTCCGCTGAGAGTGTTAGTTTCATGTTATTTCGTGAAAATTACATAAAACTGAACGTAGTGCGGACGTCTGCTCGATACTTCTCGCTTAACGCAGCGCAGGCCCATAGACACGCATTTTTTCCTTTATTAACATAATCAAAACATTACAGAGAATACATTGATTTGAAATTTCGCATGACGTCGCGTATGGTACAATGTTTACTTAGAAGTGACGCCACCAGGCGTTCCAAATTTCGACGTGCTTTATCTTTGTAATTTTTTGGTTGGTTGACAATAGCAAAAATAAGGGTTCATTTTAGTTAGTAATTTGTTTACTTTACTCCGTCTTCATCTCTATTTTAGATATCTTCATCAATCTATAAGGCACGGGCCTTAGCTATGACTATGGTAGACTTCTGTGGTGATATGGTATGTTCACCAGTTTTTAAGGTATAGTCTACATGAGGCCTTGCCTGGATTCGAATTTTTCGAATTTCAAATGGTATGGCGAATACGAGCAATTGTACCTAATTCATTACTGCTTTTATATATTCTACAAAATTATGCAGATGCACATAGGAGCTCGAGATAGCAAATTTTTGGTCGACCATCTTAGAGCTATTTGTACCTTTACTTAATAACTAATTTTATCATATAAATATAAAATCAATTGTAATTGTACCTACTGTGTGATGTGTGTCATAAATAAAAAATACATATTATTTTATCTTTAACTAGCGGCCGCCCGCGACATCGTAAGCGTGGAGTTAGTTAGAAATAAAGGTTCACTGCTCGTTCCCCGTAGGTGATAGCGTGATAATATGTAGCCTATATGTTGACCCGACTTCTTAATTATATTCGTGCCAAATTTGAAGTAAATCCATGCAGTACTTTTTGAGTTTATCTCGGACATGCATACAGACAAACAGACAAAAATTCTAAAAACTATATATTATTTGGCTTCAGTATCGATTGTAGATCACACACCGAGTATTCTTTTAAAAAATATTCAATGTACAGTTGTGACTTTCCTACCATTTTATTATATGTATAGATTACTTACCACAATAGTGTTGCTCAGGGCCGCTAGTAAATCTGGAAGCTTTGTGAACCCATAGTCGGCAACTCGACACTGCCGACCGAAGTGATGATGGAACGCTGGGATTAGTCTGTGGACCAATAAAAATATCATAAACACTCGCTCCATTGAAGCTGTGAATAATCATACTACTAAGATAACGTAATGAAGATACGGCAGTTTAACTGTCTGTCTGTCTGTCAAGACCCTTTATATCGGGGACCCGTGGAGGTTACAATTTGAAATTAAAATCATATATAATGCGATTCAAATAAGAATAGGAAAGCCAATGACCTCCATCTGTAAAATGTCGCTTGAAAAGTACAGTTTGCAAAAAAAATTCAGAACACTTGTTTAGCACTCTGCTAATTCTAAAATAAAAATCAAACATTTTTAAACAAACAATAACAAATATTGATATATAATATTGGTTGATATTTTTGAAGTTATACTTCTTTAGGCGCGTTATGAAAAAATGATGAGAGTGAAATTTTTAGATGCGCGCGCATTACTGTAACCCAAAAGTAACAGCATGAAGTTGGCCGCGGGCGCGTTATGAAAAAATCATGTGAGTGAAATTTCGAGATGCGCGCGCATCACTGTAACACAATAGTAACACCATGAAGTTGGCCGCGGGCGCGTTATGAATGTTAGTGTCTAATAATTATTATTATTATTACACCATTATTAGACATCTGTTCGAAAGGTACTTTGAACAATCCACGGAGCTCCATAAGATGATCGCGTTGTCAAAAACAATGTTGGCACGCTCGTCGCCTCTGATCACTGTTTTCATATTTATAATATTTATCCACATGTTTCTAGTTTCTATATAGACACAACGTGTTTTAGTTACTTACAAGTGCTAATTACATATGGACTAATAACTTAAATTCAGTAGTGATTTTAATTGAATATTTATTTAATTTTTCAAATTAAAACTGAACTTAATTGACTGTGTTAACTATCCTTTTCCAGTCCTTTTATTATTTTATTGTAATTATTAATTATTTGCATGCAATTAAAAAATATTTTTAATGATGCTAAAGAAGTATAACTTCTCACGCGCGTACATAAGTTACACGCATCCATTTTTATTTTTCATTTATTGAGCTTTGACTATGAACGGTTGATAACCTAAATCATCAACCAAATGTCACTTTATGTTGCGTTCAGAAACTCGATTTAAAACTTTTGTTTACATATAGGATGCATGTTCGTATGTGACCTGCATGATTATTCATAACTACTACGGCGGTAATGCAGAGATGAGCGGAATTGAAGAGCTAGATTCTGATTAATGTTTTTTCTCACACAGTCTTAATAAAGAAATATTATTAAAAATCGGTTGTTTTTCCTGTCAATCTTTGTAAATTAATTTTATTAAAAAATCTGATGTTTTTTCTCACTTAATCTAAGTAAATAAGTTTTATTTAATACAACCTTTTTATGGTCACTCTACCTATTTGGTTTGAATTGACAGCTATGACGTCAAAATATGGCGCCCAGTCGGTCCTATTCTTAGTTGAATCGCATTCTAAGCCAATCTACAGTCGCTTGAAGCAGTGTAAAAATCACACTTCTAAGTTATCGTAAAGAAAGATACGGCCGTTTATGCTGTGTACGCATGTTTGTATTTTTTACCGAAGTGGATGGAGTTCGACTCGCACACTTGACCAGTTTCTTGATCATAATACTGCCAAAAGAAAGAGTTTTGCTAATGTGCTTGTGTTTGGGAGCTCGATGACGCAGGTGGTTAGCGCGTTCGGCTGCGATCGTTGAAGTTAAGCAACTTTGGCAGTGGTCGGTCAATGGATGGGTGACCAAAAATCTTCTACCTCGAGTTTCTCCGTGTTTCGGAAGGTACATTAAGCCGTTGGTCCCGGCTGTATCTGCAGTCGTTAGCATCCGCCAATCCACACTGGGCCTGCGTAGTGGGTCATGGCATGTGCCCCAGCAGTGGGGGCATTAATAGGCTGATGATGATGATGTGCTTACTTGCTAAACGGTATGGAGCATCTTGGCGCCGTTCGCAGCAAATCAATGAGCTCCCTCTCGAACAACGCCAGCATTGGCTCCAGAGCGGGGGCAGTCCTTGGCCTTTCCCGTTCACCGCTCGAACGAGAGCATTCACCTGTTGACGAGATTTATAAAATATAAACACTTACTCCGAGGACTCCGTACCTCAAAAGGAAAAGAAACGGAACCCTTATAGGATCACTTTGTTGTCCGTCCGTCCGTCCGTCTGTCAAGACCGTTTTTCTCAGGAACGTGTGGAGGTATCAAACTGAAATTCATATCTATCATAATCAATATTAAGGCAATATTTTGAAACATTCATGAAACTAAAAATGGCATGAAATTAAAAATGAACCAAACAAAAACATATTTAAATATAAATTAAAGAAAGATTACCTGAGTAAACGTTAACATTTAAAAAATAATATACATAAATAGCAAATAAGTAATTATTGTAAGCGTTTTTAAGTAACAATCAGTATCCATTGTTATAATGGGAGTGATTGCAATTACAGTCAAACAAAAAAAAACGAGTGTGCTTATGACCATACGAATGAAGTGAAACTTCTTTATATATTTAATATGTGTGTGTGTACAATATATACATGTATGTACATATATTTCATTTACTACCTATAAGAGAAAGAGGGAAAGAAAATGTGCGCGCACACTGCTTTCTCTTGCTTATACCCACTCAACTCCCGTTCGCCTCGCCCGAACACACTTTTCGTAACGCGTAATGCGTTCGCCAGCTTAGCCCCCCAAGTCATGCGTGCGTAAAGAAGTTTCACTTCAAAAAAGTTATAGGAAACAGGAATCTTCGCACGATAAAGTGGCCTTAACATAATACTCACTCTGGTTGGTGATCGTATCAGTACCGTCAATACGCCACGTGAGATGCCTAGACGGACTGTCCTTCACTTCCAGACCGGGGACGCTACGTAATAGCAGCTCTAACGCTACGCCATGCCTCGGATCCGCTACTAGAGGCGGAAACGTTGCCTCATAGCACTCGACGAAGCTACAATAAAATATTAAGACTTAATAGAGGTCATCTATAAAGTATATCACACGTTAAGGGGGCGGGAAGGTGACGAGGCGGGTGTTTCGTGACTTCAGATTTCAAAAACTTTGAAATTTTATTGCTGTATCATCATCGTCAGCCTATTAATGCCCCCACTGCTGGGGCACAGGCGTTCCCTATGGAATAGGGAGATTGGGCCATGACCCACTACGCGGGCCCAGTGCGGATTGGCGGGTGCTAACGACTGCAGATGCAGCCGGGACCAACGGCTTTACGTGCCTTCCGAAGCACGGAGGAACTCGAGATAGAAAATTTTTGGTCACCCATCCAATGACTGCGAAAGTTGCTTAACTTTAACGATCGCAGCCGAACGCGCTAACCACCCGCGCGATCGAGCTCCTCATACTCATATAGATAAAACTGTTTATTAACCTATACGGTTTTAATTTGTTCCCCTGGCTAATTTTCAAATTTCAAATTCAAATAGTTGAATTCGATATTTGTTCGTGGTAAGGGTACTGTTGAAAATTATTTATTGCTAGCTGTGCCCCGCGGTGTTAACCGCGGTTTATTAGGGATATTTTCCCGCAGTAAAATGTAGCCTATGTGTTAATCCAGGGTGTCAGGTAAGTATTTGGTCCATACCAAATTTTATTAAATTCGCTCCAGCCGTTTAGACGTGAAGAAGTAACATACATACTCGCACACTCACAAACTTTCGCCTTTATAATATTAGTGTGATGCAATACATAAATTATTGAATACTTTGTTCTATATCTTATATAGAAATACATATTAATCATCCATGACTGGAGTACATATGCTCGTATTCATCTCACAAACATGTACCCCCTCCGGGATTCGAAACCGGGACCTCTTGAGTAGGCGACACCATGAAACCCGGTGTACATACCACTCGGCCACGGAGGACGACAATGTTATATCAGTTATAGATTGCAAATGCATTAAAAATAGTAAAGGATGACATTAGGGTTTGTATGAAATCTGGTCCCACCTTCCAATAGCCGAGTGTGTTACATCGTTGGATAAGTATTTATAAGCTGAACAAAAATGTTAATGTTACCGTTGACAAATAAAACAACGATAACATAATAGCTATTAACGGGATTGTTACCATGTACCTTGTTTTTTATGAGTCTCCGATATTTCTGCACTGTTGGGCAATCCGGTAGCTCCAGTAGTTGCCAATATATGGATGTAGTATTTTGAGGAAAAAGCTTTCGCCACCGCCCCCACAGAAATTGCACTATGGAAGAGGTATGTTGATGACGTATTTTGTATTTTAAAAGGAAACAAAGAAGATGTCGAGGCTCATTTGGCAAATTTAAATGGAGTCCATACCAAAATGCGGTTCACATATGAGATGGAAGAAAACCGCAGTCTGGCCTTTCTTGATGTGAAGATTCGGGTGCGGAATGACGGTTCGCCGAGTCATTCCATTCCCCTTAAACCTACACATACAGACCGTTATCTCAACGCCTCCTCGCATCACCCTAAACATCTAAATTCTGTAGTCACTTCACTAACGAACCGTGCATATAACTTGTGTGATAAGGAACACCTGCACGAAGAGTTGGAGCATGTACGGCGGGTCTTACAGAATAATGGATACATGGGAAAGTTTCCACCCAAACACAAACGAAAACACCAGAAACACAAAGTAGACAGGCAACCACTATTTTTGCCATATATCAAAGGAATGACAGACAAGATCTCGAACATACTTAATAAGTACTCACTGAATACTGTCTTCACTCCTTTACAAAAAGTGTCACAGATTCTACGGTCTCCCAAAGACAATTTCCCCTTGGAAAAACCTGGTGTATACAAGATTGACTGCAGCTGTGGTAGTTCGTATATTGGAAAATCGAAGCTGACAATAGCGTGCCGAATGAAAGAACACATAAAAGCAGTCAGAAAAAATGATACGCAAAAATCAGCCATCGCGGAACATTTAATTGATTCGGGTCCTAATTACTGGATTGAGCACCATAATCCACAAATTATCTCGACAGAACTCCACTACATACCAAGATTGGTCAGCGAAGCGACAAACACAAGAATTTCAATCGAGAGGATGGGTTTAAATTGTCAAATGTCTGGAATCTAGTGGTTCGTATGTGTAAAAACCGCAAATATCAAAAAAGTCGTTCCGCGATCTGATACTGTGAGTATTGTGTGTAGGGAACAAGTGCGAGTGAATAGTGAGAATGTGACCAGTGGTAGGGGTATCGAGCGCAGTAAAAGACGACGTCAGAGGGTAGACCGATATGTCTGCCAATAACATCTACCCGCAATTACTTCAGTTACTCCGTGATCATGGCGCTTGCAACAGTGTCGAAATATCGGAGACTCATAAAAAACAAGGTACATGGTAACAATCCCGTTAATAGCTATAATGTTAGTGACCATGAAAGTTTAAAACAATATAACGACAACATATTGTCACAAACGCTCTGGAAACAGAACCGCGAAAGTGCTAGAGATCGAATGTGCCAGAGCACCGCGGGTCGCGATAAAGGTCGAGTAATGCGGCTCATTCCAAACAGAGCCTTATGCAGTGCGGCGTAAGGGTTAAAGTGCAACGACATCTGCACTTGTTTACAAGTTATGCGCGTTACCTGCGTAGGTATAAGTACTCGCGGGTGCTAGCTAATTCTCAATTTAACAGGTACTTTATAGAATGCGTAGATCGGCGTATATAAGCGCGATTGGCGCCGCGCAGAGACAGTTGAGTTTCAACAGCGATTACGGAGCGAATCCAAAGGCGATCAAAGTGTTCAAGTGCGATTGTTTAGGGACTTGTATAGTGAAATACAGTGTTTAGTTAGTGTTTTGTAATTAACATTGTGTGTTAATTGTGTGAACTGTGTGGTTAATAAAGAACTGTCAAGGGTGAACTGGCATATAATTTTGAACCCCATCCCGACACGTAACAATATTAAAAAAAACATTTATTTAATTATCGTCGTCTACAATGAAGTCATGTAAAAATAAGACAGGACCCACAAATCCTTCATGCCTGGCGTAACCTAGGTACCAAATGATTGATACTTTTTGCGCACAGGTCCCTTACGTACGTCGTCCAGTCATTACGTGTATAAAGCACAGAAATACAATTGATAGGTAAAAAAAACATTACTTGGCTACTGCTAAAACTGCCATGTTTAATTAAGAATAACTCAGAGCTGACGAAGATTTGGAATTTGGCTCTATACTAAGTTTTATTCAGCTTAAAAAACGAATCTAACGATGTCACACACATAGCTATTGGAAGGTGAGACCTAAGTAGGGCCAGGATTGGCATTCTCTTTTGTCTACATCAAAGCAAATAAGGAAAGTGACAATAACAGTTGCTTTGTAAAGGTCAACAAACTCACCTTAACAATGGCAATATTCCACAGTGTTTCTCCAAAATCATCCGAGTATTCTTGGCCAACACTGATATCTCCATGCAAACAGGTTGCAGGATCCGGCTTCCGTCTTCATGGCCGGTATTGATCGAAGCGTGAATATGGCATTTCCACGGTGCCTCTTCCACTTCAGAATTAGAAATCGGAGTTAGATCTATAAGTTGAACCATACGGCCGAAGCCTTCGTGAATGACTACGGTGTCTCTGACTCTGGCAATGTCGGAGGTTGTTAAAGCGCAGCAATGGCGACTGGCGTAAGCGTCCCTAAGTCTTAGTAAGGGTAATGTATGATTATTTTGATCTAGGAGTATAGCTCGCAGTCTGGCGCGGAGAACGTCTAGATTCGGGGCGGGGGATGGCCTCCCTAAAGACAGTTCTAGTCTACGCCCGTTCCATTGGTTGTCTAAACGGCGTTTGTGAACGCGAGCGATAGCTAAACGCGCGTCCCATTCGTTGCGAAGAACTATTGTTGCAATAGGACCCTCGCCGGCCGCCCAAATGGAGACCCGTACTACTTGCACGTATTGATTGAACAGTTGGGTCAGCATTTCCTGTTGAATAAAACCTATATTTGAATCTTTAATTCTTAGGTATCAACTTAAGTTTTTTTTTATATAGCGAGGTAGGCAAATGACTTTACCCCACCTGATGTTAAGTGGTGATAAAGTCAAAACGCGAAGATAGCTGGTACAGCAGTTATAAACTGCTACACCAACTATCCTCACCTTGCCGGTCTGCAAAAATGCTTCTTCACACCTCTCTGAAAGGACCCCAGATTGTAGGAAGGAGGAAACACGTGCGCGGGCAAAGAATTCCACTTACAAATAGTACGACAAAGTTTATGGACGGACGAAACAATTCTAAAACAATAACAAATATTTTTTATGGATTTTCTGTAGATCGAGAGACTTGTATTTATATCGTATCAAAAACTACACCCATTCTAAATTAGACCATAATGAAAGCTAAATATAATTAATTTAATATTAAATTGAACTTTGTAAAACAATCAGAGGTAAATCCCTCTAATACCTTTATCTAATTAAAACATTACTCAATCGATCAAATTAAAATTAATCAATATAATTATATTCATGAACCAATCGAATGATTCTCAGCTTCAATCTTTTACTTTTTTTATACAGAATTCAGAAAATGGATGTTTAATAGTCAGTACAACTAAACTGAAGTCTCTTGATTAGTTGAATTTCATAATTGTTATCGACTTTGTGGAGTGTAATACATAGTATAATGTATATGGACTAGTTTGGCCGCAATATGACGCTTGTCCTTTTCCGTTTCTTAGCAACAATATAAATGATATAATCAACGAATTAGTAATGATATGGAAGCATTATTATTGCTAAAGAACAAATTATCATTTTGAATGAAAATATTATTATTGTAAGAGAACAAAGGCCGCTAAACCATGGTTACAAACTGAAACAACGTAACTCCAATACTAACGCAGAACGTACACATACAAAACAAAATACTTTGACAAATCAAATATTTGCAAATGAATTTGGCTATCCGTTCATTAGGTAAGATAATGATGAACGGAAATCCCATGATCAGCGTGTTGATTGCAGTTTTTCAACCCGCCCACTTCATCGCAGTTTTCGTGGAACCAATTTTTTGCGCAGTTCTTATCCCATATAATTTTCTAATTCATAAAAATCACACCCGTTATACTCTACGTATAATATATTTTTTTTACCTGTAAGACGGTCGGCTCGTAGGGCGGCAAGTTGGCCACGGTTAGTTCGGAGGGCGATTCGCATTCGCCTTCGCTTTGCTCGCTGAAACTTGCTGAAGAATTCCACGGCGATATGGCCCTGCTCTGGCTGGTGTCGCGGGGCCGGCTGTCGTCGCCGCTATTGCTTGACGAGCAACCAGATCGGTCTAGATTCACAGATCCTATAAAAGAGAGTTCATTTTTAAAATAAAAAAGCTAGGTTAAAAGTGTATATTTTTAAGCCATTGCGGACATCAATCATTTAATGAAACACTATTTGGACGGGCGCTTCCAAGCAAACTTATTAAACTTTTTTCTTTATTCTTGACGTTTTAGATCCATTACGACCACGGAGCCTGCAAGTGTCAAGAATAATGAAAAGTTAGTGAATCGCACTTATAAACAGTTAGTGTTTTACTAAGTAAAAATAGTGATAAACAAGCATATGCCTCGCCTGATAGTAAGCGGCCAACATAGTACCAGAGTATCACACGCGGGTTTGCCTACCCTGACCCCATTCCTACCCCGTGGCAGTACTTTATTCACCGATAGAAACACACATACACAACGAACTTGAAGATATTATTATAAAGCTATTACATTCAAAGTAACTTACAGCTATACTCAGAAACGTCCAACTAATTCTATTGTCATCGCAAGGAAGTGACAGCATCAACTAATTCAAAGTTTATAGACTTCTCTAAGTGCCAGTCATTAGTTGTTGTCCTTTAGGTATTAGCAATTTCAAATCTGAACGGAAATTTCATTAAAAAAAAATGGTACAAAGCAATACACCTCTTTCTACACTCCATGCTATTTCACTAGATGTCCCATTGTTCTGTACACCGTATATACGTTACACTACTATAACCCAGTATTCCTCATGAGTAGGGCTGCCATCTCTAAAATGTGGCAACCAGGATAAAACGCGTGATAACCCCGGATTTTGGAGCCCAGAACCCGGACGGACCAATAAAAAATAGTTAAAAATATCACAAATCAACTTTTTTATGTTGATCTAGGCAAAAGAGCTAGCAGTCTACCTCATAATAAGTGGTCACTGCTGCCCATGGACACTTGCAGCACCAAGGGCCACTTATGCGTTGCCGTAAATTTTTAAACCCGGACTACAAATAAAACCCCACCCGGACGCTCCCCGGACGCCCCGTAAACTAGGACAAATCCGGGGAAACCCGGACAGATGGCAGCCCTACTCATGAGTGCCTCTAATCTTCCTCGGTTTGGGCGCAGGCGGCGGGCAGAACTCGAGCCTATGCGTGCCTACTATGAGAGTATGAGCCAGTATCCTAACAACACTCACCATGAGTGCCTCTAATCTTCCTCGGTTTGGGCGCGGGCGGCGGGCAGAACTCGAGTGGCGGCGGAGTAGGCGCGGGCAGCTGCTGTAGCGCTAAAGCCCAAACGCTAGCTTGCGCGCTTGTGCTTGGCATTTCGCGAGGCGATGGGCACACCTAAATAAAAACAATTAAATATTTAAAAAAAGATTAATCTACGTCTGTAATCCCTATTAAAAGTTAACAAGCCGGAAAAAAAGTTAGTTTTAAATTTGTAATAAGTAGTGTATTCTACTTGTCAAGCACCCTTTTATTTGAAATCTATATTGAGGGAGTTGTTAAGAAAAATAATATAATCGGCCATATTGGATTTGAATTCTTCAAGTCAAGCCTTTTAATTTGTTATTCATAATCTCAGACCAAATAAAAAGTATAGACGGAGTCTGCCGAACAAAAAAGTGAAGCCGATAAAACTACGCCTCGCCGTGTACATACACAGTTACACGCACACACATGCAACGAAACTACGCCTTGGCTTCCCAGTCGAGCTATCCCGGCGCGCGGAGTGTGACGTATTAATAAAAAACAATATTTATTAGAGAAAATGCCGAATTGTGTAGTGAAAACGTGTAGAAACCAATCTTCCAAGAATAAAAAACAGGAATTTCATACGTAAGAAAAATTATAAACTAATATTTTCAATTAATCAAAATCAAATTTGAGGTTGTCGCTTTGTAAACAAAACCTGAATGAAATGCTGCCATGATTATACGTTACAGTTTTACCCTTTTGTTGGGTAGCGTGAAATATAACGTAACGTTGTTTTATTAAATACATTGTGTAGCATACTTTTATATTATTCGAATATTGTAATGCATGGATAAACAATTACACAAAACATCTTTATTATCTTTTTTCTTTATGTATTCGTATATTTTTTTGGGATGTAATACATATTATATATTATTATATAATATGTATTATTATATAATATGTATTACATCCAATCACAGGAACCCCAGATCTCCAAGCGCAGGACCTTTGGCTCACGAGAGGTTGGATCTAGGGCTAGTGTAAAACTAATCTGGACTAGTTTAGAGAATAAGCCTTCGATAGTTTTTTCTAATATTTTATAACGTTATTAATAACGTTATGAAATAACGTTATTATTTTTTCTAATATTGGGGTATTAAAAATGACTATGGTAACACTGGCTAATGCACTACATACATAAAAAACCGGCTTCACTTTTTTGTTCGGCAGACTCCGTCTTTACTTTTTATTTGGTCTGAGTTAATAATGCGGGAGTTATGAAGAAAAAAGTATGATCGCCATTCTGTAGCATCAGCCATCTTGGATTTATAAAGATGCTGAATATATTAAATTATATTATCATTGGAACTAAAGGTGACCGAATAATAACTTCACAACCGCCATAGTTTGAATTAAATCACACTTAACCTGCGGCACGGACGTGGCCCTGACAGGGAACGGGAGCGCAGTCGTCGCGCCGTACTCCTCGGCACTGGAATACGCCGACTGGAACGTGATGCGAGCGTACTGCGTGCCGATTTTATCAACAAACACTAACTTCACAGCCACCATCTAGATTGTATCGCACTTTACCTGCGGCACAAGCGGTGCGTAGTTGGTCCTTACAGGGGGCGGAGGCGCAGTCGCCGTGCCGTACCCCTCGTCGCTTGAATATGCCGGCTGAAACGCGATGCGTGCGTACCGCGTGCCGATCTTACGACCGAACACATCCTCGCCGTCCATGCGCTTCAATGCTCTGAAGACAAATGAATTCTATTCTTGAACCTACTATTTTCCGATTAAACAAAAACACCTGTTCGTATGGGAAAGTATCATTAAGGTATCCCTAGGGTCTCTAATTAGAGCGCAAATTCCGCTATGCCCTATCTCTGGGCCTCAGGCTGTCAAGATTCTAGTGCCTTGGTTGTGCTGCACTTATAACTGAAGCCTAAACGAGAGGGTAGAAACTCATGTCGAAATATTCGAATTGCGAAATTAAAGATGGCTTTATAAAGACACATACTTTATAAACACACTTACATAAAAATAAAACTGATTATAGTATTGCTGCTAGTATTGTAAAATAACTTTTTAATCATTAAAGTACATTTTTTTAATTTATTAAATTAAGCTATGCTATAAGGCTGCATGTAAAATTATTAGTTTTAAAAAAAACTAGAAAACCACGCTTTTATAAATGCACGTACAAACCAAAAATAAATTATTGTTCGTGCAAGTTGTCGCTATTTCTGGGCTGAAGTGAAAACTATGTGCTTTTAATTATAATATTTGATTGTAAAAGCGTAGGGCACTAAAACAGGAAAGCCCTAGCCCCTTCTCCACGTCTATATATTGGATAGCAACATGATTTTAGCCCCTTTGAAAAATTTTAATGGACTCTAATGAAGTATTTTTTAAGGTTTCAGTTTCGCAATAAGTTGGTCTTGAGCTTTTATGTCGTACATTCGAGTACCTTACGTTTGTAAATTTTAAGAACTTCATTGTTATGCTTCTCTACTTGGTCGTTTGTTGGATAAATACGCAATGCTTTTTCAAGCGCGAACTCACCGGCAGCTATTGTATTAGTTTTTTTTTAATTGTGAAGTTTTTTATAAAGAAATATATTTTTGTCACTTGACAGAGATGAAGCAAAAAGCAATGGTTTTATTTTAATAACTTTTATATTTAATATGGCGCAGCCGTTAGGATACGAACCTACGCTCCCAAAAAGATCTTTAAATTACTAATATTTAACAGTAGCATTTGATGAGACCTTAGTCAGCAATACTAGAAGATGCTCGCTGTCCAGCTCTCCGACCCTCAAGGAATTCAAGCGACATGATATTATTAACCACCCTTAACATGTCATTCAGCCGTCGGCACGTTTCTCACCTTGATTTGGGTGGGATATTTAACAACCTACTACCCTATTTACACCTCAATATACATCGTATATAAATATATCAATATTATTCTATTTAAACTCTCCATGTACAGGTCTATATATATTTTATACAGGCACGTATGTAAATATTTAAACTCAATATTTTCAAGTAAATATATAAAAGGTTTGTTATAACATTGAAACCTGATCGTGTTCAAAGTCTATTATGTGGCCTCTCTCACAAGTACAAACAAGACTATAATACGATATTCCATCATGAAATGCCAGTGCCTATCTTCCGGCTTCATCATCAGACCTTGAAACCTAATCGTGGTCAAAGTTCATTAAAAGACTTTTCTAAGAAATCCAAAAACAACTATGATACGATGTTCCATCATGAAGTTCCAGTTCATATCTTCCGGCTCCATCATGAGATCAGTTCGACAGTACCATATAATTGTATTGTCATCAGAACAACATACAGCTGCCAATTTTCATTACGCCACGATCATTGAAAGATGTTTAAATTAATTACCTTAGATTCCATTAGATGTCTGTAACTATACAGGTCGACCTAATAAAAGCGTGTTAAAAGCACAACGCGCTATCACTTTGTCATCGTAACATCGTTGTAACTTTTTGAAGGCAAAGTTTATCGTCAAATATCAAAAGCGATAAAGCGTTTTGATAAAAAATAATTTGTTTATACAAAACATGCATTTTGGAAATTTATTTCAAACTAGTGGCCCGCCCTCGCTTCGCTTCGGTGTAGAGCTGAAGTGTAGACTACAGTTATTGTTCTCAGGCTTGTATTATACACAATGACATTCTTCTTATACCTACCGCCGCCGCGACCACCGTTACACGCGGCAACCGTTACACAAAAATAATCCTTATAGCATGATTCAGTATTCACGTGCGACGGCGCGATGGCTTATTTCATGTATAAGTTTGGTGTTTCTATACCGATTTCTATGATTCTTTTTTTATTGAATAGGTAATAATGTTAACTTTTTTAAATTAGGGATGAGTGAGAGTATTATAAACGTAAGAGTAAACAAATATAATCAGAATGCTCCGAACTGCTAAGCTATCAGGAGTTACATGTGTTATTGTGAGTCAACCATAAAAGATAGACATATGCTGTTGCGGGATATTTTTTAGACAATTTTTTGTAGAATATTTCCGTCATACATGATTTCTATGTAACTTTAACCGTTAAGGCTGCACACGCGACGGAAGCTTAAAAATGGAGTAACTTCTCCCGTTTTCCCAACATTTCCCTTCACTACTCTGCTCCTATTGATTGTCGCGTGATGAAAAGTATACTATAACCTGCCCAGGAGTATGAAGAATAATTGTACCAAGTTTCGTTAAAATCCGTCGAGTAGTTTTTGTTTCTATAAGGAACATACACACAGACAGACAAAAATTTTACTGATTGCATTTTTGGCATCAGTATCGATCACTAATCACCCCCTGATAGTTATTTTGAAAATATATTTCATGTACAGAATTGACCTCTCTACAGATTTATTATAAGTATAGATAATATTTAATTTTTGAATCACTATTTTAGCTATAATAGCTTACACATTAAAAATAGATATATGCTGTCCCGGACTTTTTTGTAGAACTATATAAGAGATACAATTCCACCATACATTATATTCATGTAACTTTTATTGTTTTTGCAGTGCAGGCCAAAATGGCTCGCAGATGGGAGATTTTTTCCGTGTCACGTGACACTTATTGTTATATTCTGGCCAATTCTCCAAATAACAACATAAATTAAAATCTACATGCTATTATTATATATGAGCTTTATTATTGGTTAGTTTGAATAAAACCCATTTAGTATTTTTTGAGTAAAAGAGTTAAAAGATCCATACTAACGTAAGATTGAAATTAAAAGCGCAAGTGGTACACAACTTCAAATCGTTGTAGATCCTAAACAATCATATAAAATGAAAAATGGTGTAAGAAACCTAAACATGATTTTCGATTATCTAGACAATGATACCCCACTCGACATATTTCGGCAACTTATTTTTTTTCTTTCTCACAATATGACGCCCAGTTGTCTCCATATTGATTTTTGATTATTATTATACCTTTAGTAGCACTCCCATGATTAAGACGAATCGAGTGATGTATGAATCATCAAAATCGGTCCACGCGTTTTGTCTCTAGTGTGCCACAAAGGAACAAACATACATATATAGACTGTTAAACACTATACCCTGTCTGCGCGTCGCGCTTTGCGCTCTTGCATTGCGCAGTCGGGTAAAAAGAGGCGCACGCATTCGAAATTATTCTCTAGCGTTTCCCATACAATTTTCTGCCGATCGTGTTCTGTATTCGGGATTTCTGAAAGCTTTGCAAAATACTTTTTTGTTACTTTGTTTAATTTAAATTATTCCTATGAGTGAAGATAAAGTAGTGTATGCAACTGCATATAATTTTGGAATAATATTTAATTAATTACTGGACATATCATTAATTTAGTGACGTGCATATACACCTTCTTATGTCACAGTCACATAAACTACTATAACTTTTCAATTATACAAATTTCAACTATAAAATCATGAAGGTATAATGTGCAGTGCATATGACGGGGCGGGCTGCAAGCGCTGTCGGATACAATGACGTCACGCGGGCCTTAACTGGACGCTCGTAAAATAAGCGAAGTCCAGTGTTTAAACCAAATCATTATGTATTGGCCTTATACTCATGAAAGTAGTAAATATATTATGAAATTAAAACAAATAAAGGTTTTAACCAAATCATTACGTATTGGCTTTATACTAATGAAAGTAGTAAATATATTATGAAATTAAAACAAACAAATGTCTTAACCAATTCATTAGTATAAAGCCAATACGGCTTTATACTAATGAAAGTAGTAAATATATTATGAAATTAAAACAAACAAAGATTTTTTCCATGGTCCATTTAACTCCCTCCACTCAATCGTACTTAACCAATAACTTATTTCTAAAGAATTCTTTAAATTACCGGGCAAGTGCGAGTCTGTCCACGCGAATTGTAGGCGTTTGTAGAACTTGCGCAAACCGCAAAATTAAGGAAACAAAATACATAAAGGTACGTAATACCCGCCATACACACTACGATAAATCGTTACGATTAGACTGTACAGTACCGATAAATCGTAGCGTGTATGTTATAAAACTGCACAGTTTCCTATACTAAACGAAATCGTATAAACTGTACCGTTCGAACTGTACAGTCTGATCGTAACGATTTCTCGTAGTGTGTATGGCGGGTATAACATTGTTTCGGGATTATAAAGTATAAATCTCAATCCAGGTCAGAAACTGTATGCGTATATATTTCTTGTATGTTCGGATACTTGGGGTACGAAAAAATATTATATTTTTTGAAAAACGCAATACTGCAATTGTTCTTAACCTTAAAAGATAATACGGAACCATTTGTGTGCGAGCCCATCTTACACTTTGCCAATCATTTACTTAGCGCAACAGTTAAAACTTGTCCGTTTATAAAATATAACAATACAATAAATGCACATTTATAATATTAAGTAGGATAAATGTTTATGTATGTAAATGTTTAAGTTACAGTTACTTTTTGAGCACATTATAATAAAAAAATCCCCAATTAATTAGCTTTAGAACATGGCCGCCAGAGTTGGGTGTTCATAGTGGTTTCCGTCTAAAAACCAAACTGTTTTGTAAATATGGGTGAGAAGTAATTTCATATATAGTACGTACGATACGGTGTCTCTCGACTTTACTTCTATGTTTTTCCATGTTATTTCCTCAAACTATACAATATGATACGCCACCTACCGCCCCATAAAATAATGTAATTTATGCCATAAACATAATTAATTCTATTTGTTTCTTAGGTTTTCACGCACATCACTCATTAAGTAGATTAAGTGTAATTTTCATTTACTTTTTAAAAGTAAATTAGAAAATTATTAATCTGACGACGCATTCCTGCAAAGGCGGCGAAACGTCAATAAATAAATAAAATCAGTGCATCTATCCCGTTGAAACTTGTTTTATAGTTAATTCTATATAAAATCCAGCCATATTTGGTGTAAGAATACATAGACTTGTTACAATGTCTACAATTCAAACAGGCGGGGAATAATACAAAATGACTATCTGAAAACTTTAATATCTGTAACACGTAATATGAATCTTTCAAATAAAGCTATAAAAGATAAACTTCTAAAATCTTGGCATCAACATAAGTTATCAAATATCCGATTAAAAAAATTAATTTCAAATATTTGATAACGGATGAATTTTTAAACTTTATAATTACGTAAGTATGGACGATAAAGCCCCATTTATGATGAAATGGAACCTAGATCTCAGAATACTAAACAATCGCGTTATTCAGTGTCTGGTTTCAAATCTATTCGAAACAGCTGATTTATAAAACACCATCTATCATGCACTTATTCAAACATTATCTTGAATTTGAAAAGAGATTCACTATCATGCTGCATTGCTTTTTACATTTAATTCATACAAACACAGCTAAACGCATTACATAAATTCAAATAATTCAATCGTTTCTGTGGATTTCACAAACGTACACGAAAAATAAGGACAGCAAGTTACAAACAGTAACATCAAAATGGCTTACTTACCCCGAAAGCAACATATTTCTTGAGAAATTTCGATTTGCATTAATTTTAACCTAATTCCTAAACACTTAAGTTCTAAATAACCGTTAAATAATTTAAAATAAGTATAAAGTTTTAAAGATCACAGTGTTCTCGCTTGTGCCTGGTTGTGCAATGACCGATGTAATTGATGTAGAATAATTTCGTAAAAATAATAAAAAAGCGGCGGTAGATATGAAAAATATCGGTTCTAACGGAATTTCAAACAGCTGATGGTGAAAAATTGCAGCCCCACTTCCTTTTCGTTTAGGAATGTGCATCTAGATTTACAATGGATTTGATCCATAATAAAATAATCATTCATTTACATTTATTTTAATTTTGTTCGTTTGTCACGAAGTAGTTTATTATAATGTGTAAGTTCATAAAGCACATGTAATTATGGGAAGATTTAGGTATTTTTAGAAGTCGGAATGAGAACTAATTACTTTCGCGCCCCAAAGAAAAATACCTCCAAGGAAAGTTTAGAAGCTAGTAGGCCAAGGGATATGCAAACAATACTCAAAGCGAATACGAGACCATTGTATTGTGGCTTTGAATAAAATTTACATTTGAGTAAAATTATTAATTTCTTATAATTGTGCATCTCCTTAGTACCTTTGATCTGTTTTCATATTATTTAAAAAGCACCGGTATGAAAGTATCTATATCCCATGTAATGAAAAAAATTACAGATGATGTATGTGTAAGCGCGATAATGTATGTACTTATTTTATTCTGTTGTTTTCTTCTTTCGTGAAACTGTGACGAAGTCCAAAAACTTTATGCGACTACATTATATATATCTTTCTGTTTTCTTGACGCTCAAATGACGCATTGGAATAAAGTTAACTTACGGTGGCTACGCTTATAACTATTGATCAGATGATCGGATGTATATTTACCTAAAGTTGAGATGTTGGCTATTATGAAAAGCCCATTTTTATCGAAAAAATACCGCGATTCCGTAAAATACAAATTTAAGTGGACACTTCATGAGATCTAACAAACCCAGATTAACACAAATGACATTTACCCTGTGTGAATAAGTAACATAAAAATATTGTGTAAGATTATATTATTATATTAATTTATGTTTTTTGCAAACCTCAACAACACAATTTCTCTTACCCCTTCAATACACACATACTCGAATGGGAAATTAAAATTTAACTTTAGATAAATAAATATACATCCGATTAATTACACGATACCGGAATCTTTGAAAGAAAAATATTAAGAAGCCGCTTTCATAATTTGTTAGCCAAAAAAATTACTTTAATTAAATATGCATCCGATTATCCGATCTCTACTCATAACATAGACTCATATAGCGAGAGCATCAGCGAGAAGATGCTTCTTATACAATTGCTATTTACGCTTACGCAACTATCTAGGCAACTACAAGACCCAACATTGCGCTTATTTTAAAATGCACTTGGCCAGTTAATTGTACTTTTCTAAATACGATCTTCTATATTTCGACAATTGTAATTACCTAAACATGACTTAGATTGCTACTACCTATTAGATTTTAAGGAATTACAGAGAAATGTAAGTGTTATATATAATTCAATTTAATTACTATAATTGAGAAAACACTTACCTCGAAGCATGGTCTGGTGTCGGAAACCTCAACACAGCAGTGGGAGCCGTCACCCTTAATACCTTGTGACAAAGAAATACATTTTATAAGTACTGGAAACATCTTTAATATAGATATTAGTGGGTTCTCGCGATTCTGTTTACTTAGAGAAATTGAAACCTAATGTAAGGGCGACCAATAAATTCTATGTAGGCAAAGTCACGGGAACCTGGGCGTAATAAATATAAAAATGCCACTAACAGCCAGTGTCAGTCAATAATGAATCTTCAGTAAGAAGTAGGCCTATTAGAGCTCAGTTGTCTAGGTTTTTTTATTATTTAGGTTAAAGAAACAAAGCCAAATAAATTTAGATACATTTAAATGGAGATTGATTATTCAAACTGGCAGTTAAGGTCAAAATCATTTATAATAAAATACCTTTCCGCCGCAGTTGTCAGCCAACCTTCTCAACCTTTTGGACACACGTTCCGGTGGTTGATCCAATGGCAAATTGACCACTTCCATCTCGCAACTAGGCTCTTCTTCCTCCTCCGTTTGACTCACCTGTTAAATAATAGTCCATCTATTTAATATTTATTATACTAGCAATTTTACTTCATACATATATTGTGATAATGTAAAGATACACTTATTGTATTCCCATCATTTAAACTAGTTACTTAGCAGTAGTTTATGAAATGCCAAAGCTCCATGGAATATGGTCATATTAGCTTGCCATTTTTTATCCTACTATGTAATGTAGGATACGAAATGGCAAGGTCATTAAGGTCAGTTGGTTTTCAGCATTTTGATTGCTTAACATCAGTATGGTGGGATTTAATATATACAACAAGGTCATTTACAAAGTGTGAAAGATCTTACAATAATTGTCATCAAGTACCTTGGGGTTCCTGGGGAGATGTGCTGTCAGTTCATTGAAACAGTAATGGGACGAGGCACACGTTATTAAGGCAGATGACGTATTCTGTTTATGCACCAATATCACTTCCATATTTTTCCTGATACATAGCAATATAATATATAAAAACATAATAAAAGCATTGTATCATAAAAATATGATCTCGCTCTGTTGTAAAAAAAATGATAAGCATCATACTAGTTCATCGCATAATTATTAAAATTAACTAGAAGAAATATTATCAAAAATGTTTGTAGAAATATAGTAATCAATTTTCATCAACTTCATCAACAACAATTTGGTAATCAATTTTGATGAGCAAATATGAGCTATGTAAATATAGATATAAATATAACAACACTGATTCAATTAAAATACACATATTTTTTTGGAGAAAATTCGCATTTTGTTAAACATTAGGAAATATTTTTGTATTAATATGTACACTTAAAGCACATGCTGATCAAACTACCTATAGATTATCAAAAATGTATAATAAATTTTCAATTAATGAACTGAGAGAAAAATAAGATAATATGATAATTGTGCTGTTATATAAAAAAATCGATTTTTTTTATGATGGAATTTAAACTATAACCACAACCAGTGATATTTGTAAAAAATAAACAAACCATGCAGTACAATAATTATTTAAATAATATATTAAAGGTTACGTTAGTATTAGATATAATATATTTTATTTTATAGGGATACAGCAATACCTCTATTAGGACACATTACGATAATCTGCGATTTACATATATTGTTAGTTATGAAAAGTGGAGTGAGAATTAGAAATATCTTTTATGATTGCTAGTAAAATAGAAAAGAATAAATAAATAGTAAGTAAATATTATACGCACCAACAGTAAATACAAAAAGGGGAATGTGTGGCAACATGCTCAGAATTCTGGGGTGAGGGGTGTGGCACTCCTCCTCTCCTACCCTTCTATATAATTTTGCTCATTGTAGCAAGAACTATGCTCGTCTAAAATAATTATTACTTGATGATTTAGCTTATGCCATAATACATATTTGATGAGATTTACTATTACAGAATTACCTACAATATATATATTTTAATTTGGTTCCTTTTCACTATGCTGATAATTACAAGCCTATGCTTACTAGTAGCACAATGCCAAACCACATTAGGCTACACCCTGATGTTGACTGGCAATGATAAAGTAAGGAAACAAGAAAGAGAATCATAGTTGCCACTGCTTCTGCCACCTCCTTTTTTTGTGTCTGTATCAAGACACCAACAATGCTATGGAAATGGTAGGTAAACAAAATTATAGTTATTTTGTTAGTTAACCAGCATCACAATAAATTAATATTGTAATCAAAGCTATAAGTACATAAATGTGCGCAAGCCGTACTTATTGCAATAAAAATACTATAAATTACCTATGCCTAAAATCACTTAAGTCAGCAGCAAAATTGATGTCCCCTGAGATTAAAAGTAAAGCTGCAGGTGCTGAATGCAGCTCTCCAAATCTTCGCATGCATTGTCTCAACTTTTCATCTGCAGCATTCTTTTGCGTACCGCACACATGAATCAGGCTTACCTGCAGGCGACAAGTAAAAAATATATCCAAGGAAATAATTATTTGAAAACAGTCATTGCTGTACACAAAAGAATCTGCAAGTTGATAGTTGATGTCAGATTTCCTATTAATAAATAACTTATTAAAATGGGCATTAACTCAATGTCAGAGATAACCTTTAATATAGTTACAATATTAAGATTCTTATCACATAGTTTTATAGTGTTTTATTTGTTGATTGTTAAACTTATCCTTATATTAACATTTTGCAGTTTGATTTAGATCTAGACTTATTCATAAAGATACAGTTTAAACCATAAAGTCACAGACCTAGGATTAGTCCCATAGTCTATTTATTAATGGAAGTATGCAACTCCAAAAATTACAATTATAACAGCATATTACATAATGCTGAACATTAATAATTTTAATGGTTTCTTTTCTTTTAACTAAAAGAAACATCATAGATAACTTTGTTATTGTGATTGACTAAATATTAGATATTGCAATATGATGAAATGTTATTATAGAAAAATAATAATTAAGCCATTTACAAAATCTTATAATGTAAAAACTTACTTGTGCATCATTCAATTCCTGTAATCTATTTGCTGCTTCCTTCCGAACATCACAGACAACTACAAAGTCTGCTTCTCTTTTACCAATCAAAAACTTATTTCTTATTGCTGCTACCACATCTATGGCAGAACATCCTCTCGGTACCTGTAAAATTCATCCCAAGACATTAGACATAGTCACAGAACTGATATTGTTTGATCCGCAAAATATTGTTAGTAATGAGCATTACTTTGAATACTGAAGAAAAGGCAAAATTACTTATCCATTTAAGTAATTTTGCCAGTATGACTAGGAAATTTACTCTTTTTTTGAATTAAAATGTACTAAAATTAACTTATTGCTACCATTGACTTACCTGGCAATTCTCAATATCCCAAAAAATACCAATAGGTATACTAAATGTTCTTTGTTTATGATGTCTAAATCGAGATCTAACCCTTGGTCTTTCTACAGGTAGTGTACCATCTTCTTTCATACTATCTGCATCATCATCGTCTGATGATTCATCTTCTATATCTGCACCACATGCAAAAAATGGATTTAATAGATATGTTTTATTATTTTTCATATGATATTCTATATATATATATTTTTATATACTTTGGTAATAGACATTATAAAGACAACATTTAAACTTTTATTTTTATTCAGATCCTCTTTGTTTGCAATTAACATGGTATTTTAGAAAGCTGAATTTATGTGAATATTAACTGTATGTTCAATGTTGGCTACATAAATGTATTTCATTAAAACTATTTACAAATGATAAAGAAATATAATTATAATATATTATGATTGTCATGGACTACACTCTAATGACGAATCCCACCATGTGCTCAATTATAATGTGCTTTTTATTATTCTTAGTTACAGTCATATCAAATTTTAATAATGTATAATATAATTTGCCTTTTAAACAAAGAACCTTAATCATTCTTAGTAAAAATGTGACAGAAGAAAAACACATGTGTGTTTCCTTGCTTATTCTATTTCCATGTAAATTTGGTTCTACTAATTACTTCCCAATACTCTATAAAGATTTATGTCCAATCTCAGATCAAATAAAAATTTGATCTGAACGTCCAATATAGTAACAATTTTATGTACAGCGATTACAAAATAATGATATGCATACATAGAAGTCATAACATGAAAGATAAGCAGATCTTTCTGTGAAATAAACAATAACACTGATGTATACAATAATGCTGCATTATTTCCATTATTATCGTTTTGGGTAATATATTTGCATTAAGTTTACCTGTGATCCATAAACGCGGTGGAAGTGGAATTTTCAAAGCTGGACTAGAAATAATGCTTGCCAGACCTTGGGCAGAGTGACTTCTGCTTGTCTTATTAAAACGGCTGGCTAACTCGTTGTGACTTTGACTGGTGTTCATATTGTAATACATTTACACTATTTACAACAACAAGTCGGATTTATTCATTCAGCATATGTTTCAAAAACAAAGAAAAATAGGCTATAAATCTGTGAACCCGTGACACTCGACACAAACATAAAAAAAACTATTGCTGTACTTATTTAATATATACAAAATGCTGAAATCAGATCAGATTAGCGTCAATTAAATTAGGGAATTACATTACAAAATGTAAAAAATAGGCTAAAACAATACTTTCTACGCCATAATCTCTCACACAAAATCCAACCAATCCAACCATATCTCTCAAATTGTTTACTCTATGGATTCAATCCCTTTTTTTTTTTTGGTAAGTAAGTTCTCCCTTTTCAGAGAAGGCAAGGGAAACAATGCCCATACAGCCTAGTCTTTAATTAAATTTATCTTCTTTTTGTTTTTACATTAGAATGTCGGCGTGACGCATTCTAATGTTTCTTGGAGTGTTTGGCACGAAATGTATCGAGTTGGCTTTTTCGATAAGCTTCTGTGAGGTAGTCAACACTACAATAAAATTCTCACGTCCACTTGACCGGAATAGCGTATATTTTAACGATTCCACTAATTCTTCAGTTACGCAGACGGTTGTAACACAAAACTACACCAATTTTATTCCACAATATCCACTATGAACGAATTTAAGAATAATTAAAATAAGACGCCAACCGCACTCGATGAAATCCCGCCAAAAACTCTCTTTATTTTTTCTATATATATGTTTTACGGCCTTGGAGATTCCCATATTGGCCAATCATTAGTTATAAGTCATCTATATCTTTCCAATAGTGCTTACGATGAATTCAAATAATATTTCATAGCACTCCTGGTTCCCAAGGATAGATGGCAAGTGATTGGGGATATCATTATTTTTGTAGATCATATATGGATTCAATCCCATTCATTCCATAGAGGTGGGTTACATGATCGGTTTGGCATCAGTCCAGCTGATAGCAGACTGATGGACTGATAGACAGATTACATGGTCAGTCCAGACTGATGATAGTCTTCCTAAGAACTTAGTCGCATGTGAACGTATTACGCGAAAAGCTTTGAATCAATCTAAAAAACTACTACATACAATAGTTGTAGTTTTGTATAACGAAACGCGGCGCGGCAAACGCATAATAAATGCGTTTGCCGCGCCGACATTATGTTTGTTCTGTGACTTTTGGATTATGAGTTTAATTTCTGAAGTCTATTTTTAATTTGTTAATTTATATATAAGACTGATTTCGAAGTCTGTTTTTTATTTTGATTGTTTTATTACGAAACAAATTTGGGTTTATAAGAATTACGAAAGTTGTCATTAGGACCAAATACTTAATATTAGCAGCATTTTACCTGAAATAAAATGCATATTAAAATACTTACCTCACTGAAAGCTTTATATTGAGATAGCACTTCCGTTTCCCGTCGAATTACCATCAGTTTCCGTACTTTTATTCACCTTATATCCGGTCCAGTGGCGACACCTGGCAGAAGCGCGGCCATTTTTGTTTTCCTAAGTTTTGACAGCGCCATATTAAACTACTTGACCGTCACTGAAAGCTTTATATTGAGATAGCACTTCCGTTTCCCGTCGAATTACCATCAGTTTCCGTACTTTTATTCACCTTATATCCGGTCCAGTGGCGACACCTGGCAGAAGCGCGGCCATTTTTGTTTTCCTAAGTTTTGACAGCGCCATATTAACTCATTGGCGTTCTGACTCCCGTCGAAGCAACACGTCCTCAATCTGAGCGATCGTTGTGAGATTTTAAAGGTTTTATTATTATTAAGTGATAAAACTGTAAGTAAAACTATTTTATTTTAACGGTTTTTGCCGTTCGTGTTATTCCAAATAGGTACTTTACGTGTCAAAAGTGAAGGAATCGTAAGTAAAACTATTATTCTTTTTGATAGTTTTTGCAGCCCTTGTGATAAGGGATATTTAAAACAAATATGTTAAATTGTGCAATACGCTTGTTTGAAAAAGTAATAATAAGCCGTGAGTAAAACTTAACGGCAATTCAAGGTGCGTTTTGTTTAAAAAATTAAAGTACCTACATTAAAGTAAATTTTGCAATACTTTACGTCTGTCTTGGTCGTTTATCATAAAAACTATTTTAAGAGTGTTTTCTCTTGGTATTCAATTAATGTTTCCGTATCAGTAAATGTGAAAGTAAATTGGTAAATGTATTACAAAATACTTAATTAAATTATTTTACAGTTTAGAGTGAAGGAATATCTGTCAATATTGACGTTTCAGCCGCCGACTGACTGGCATTATTGGCAAAAACAGCAAGATGTGTGGATCTAGTCATTATTGTTCTTCGAACAGCTGCAGTAATAATTGGTTGAATTTGTCGTGTTCTGGTATAACGAAAGCGGCATCGCTGCCTCAAGAAAAATAAGCGAGCTTGATATTCCAGCCCTTTTATTAAAAGATTGTTCGAGGGGTAAGTGAACTATGTACAATCTTAATAAGGTATTTCTAATGTCGATGTGCCGTTTTCTGAACATGGCCAGCTATCAATATCTAAAGGCTTATGAATAAAAAGTTCTAACATTTTTACTGACCAATACACGTAATAAAAATTCTCATATGAGTCGTGTGACTAAACTAGGATAAAGGAACGCTCTGTTCGAAAGACATTCAACGTTTATTTTAAATGATATGCTGATGTAAATTAAAAATTATAAACATAGTCCAGGCTTTATCAACCTGGAAACAAACAACGAGGTTCGTTCGTGAAATTAATTTTCTTTCAGCAAATGCATATTTCTAAAATAAAAATGAATCATTGCGGGAAGGCACCTGCTCAGTTAATTTTAATAACGAAAGTGATAAGATAACAGAATCGTTTCTTAGGTCTTTTACAGCTAGCACAAAGCTAAAAAGTAAAAACTAAAGCACTGCAAGAAGTTAGTGATCTCTGTGATGAAGCACCACTTAATAAGATACCATCTATGAGGTTGTTTTTATCGTATTAAGTAAGTATTTGTCATGGATTTAAGTGATTGACATTTCTTCAACCTAATGAGCAACTCGCGCAGAGGCAAGTGATATTCATAAGCTTCATCTCATGAAGCCCAAGGCGTGTCAGGACATGCCCTCCCATGGCGTACCTACACATATGAGTACCGGTGGCAAATCACCCTCGCGGGGTGCATATTATATATAATTTGTTTCCACTACGTGGAATCTTATTAAATGCCTCTAATGCCTTGCCTACATATACGAGTACCGGTAGCAAATCACCCTCGCGGGGTGCATATTATATACAATTTGTTTCCACTACGTGAAACCTTATGAAATACCTCTAATGCCTTGCTTACATATACGAGTACCGGTAGCAAACCACCTTCGCGGCGTGCATATTACCAAAACTCTGATGACCGCCCCTCGCGGGGGCATATTATGTATAATTTGCTTCCTCCGTATGGAACTCATTATGAATAAGGACTTGCCTTCCATGGCTTGCCTACACATACAAGTATCAGTAACAAAACATCGTTGGTAGAGAAATATCCTCATAAATTTTATAATCGCCCTTGTGGGGTCATATCACACATAATATATTATTTCCATTACGTGAATATCAATATATGTTCTATATATGTCCTTAGAACATGTTCGCTTATGGAGTTCGTACTATTATGTAAGCACCGGTAACATACGACACTCGAGTGGAGCAAATTATGCATAATTTAACATGTAGTCTATTCGTGATTCATAATTTATTTTTGTGACCATGGGGTCTGTAAAAGTGTAAACGATTCGAAACATTAAAAATAAGTAAATTGAAAATATAATAAATGTCGCTTGACATAATTTATTACTTCCATCGCGTGGAAATCCATACATCAACGCAACGCAACATACCCGCTCATGGCTTGCGTACACACATAAGTATCGGCTATAAACTACCCTCTTAATAGACTATAAAGATCGAACATCGAATGTTGACGTACCCCGTTGGGAAGTGCAAGGTACGTGGTTTTTAAGGTGTCGCATACTCCGAGGTCTTGGGTTCACCCCGGTGGGGCAAATCATTGTATGATAAAAACGAGCATCTGTGCCTAAGTTTTGGTTGTTAACAAATATGAGTTTAAAATCTAATCTAATAAATTCTAATCTATGCATCATCATTATGCATTTCCAGGCGTTAGCCCATAACACAAGCCTTTCAATACCCATTATAAGGCTAGGCTAATTGGTGTGAAGTGTTGACTCGATCACTACGGTTGTTCTACCGTAATATATAATACATTTCAAAAGAAAAAGGAATATCGAAACAATTAATGTTTGAAAAAATTTAGTGCAGGTAAGTTGATAAATTGGGAGCTCCATAAATAATTCTTAAATAAATTTAATGGTATCGCAGCCATTCAAAAGCTTGTTTATCTAAATCCAATATATATCAAACTCCAATCTCAAGTGCAGTACACTATAAATATGTAAAGAATTCTAAGTTTTCTGCAATTTAAAGACTATCTGCCAGATAAATAGAAGATAACATATTTTCTCTTGAAAATAACAAAAGTAAACCAAATGGGTTGCTCACTCTTTTGATCGCGCAATGAGAGAAACTTGCAATATTAGAAATGTCGTGTATGTGGTGTCTGAGGTGGCCAACTTGATCATTTTGATATATAAGTGGTGCTAGTTACTGAAGAAAGATTGCACGATCTACCAAATTCTTGAAAGGTTTTGAAGATCATTGTATGCAATTATCCCCTTTATGTTATTTTAGTAAAAATTACTGAAAACTGTTCTTAATATTAAACTTACGCTTTCTAACCTTGCCACGACTGTCAGGAATAAATATACTTCAAACCCTACGCATAGTACATGCACACCTCATGTAAGCTGTGTAAATCTTATAAATAACTAAATCTTTATTTAGTATTAAGTAATACATATAAATGATTCGGATCTAAGAACTGAAAAACAAAAGAAAAATTACAATCAATTATAGATTCCAGGATGGCAAATGAATTTCATAAAATCTGGTCTGAACTTCGGAATAGCATAATTTATCACGGCAACCCAGCAACAATATAAAAAACTATACCAGAGAATTTCGTTGTAAAAACGTAAACTTCAGAAGTTGATCGGTTTCAACATTTTTGTTATTCCGTGGGGTTGTATCAACCACTCCCTACTTCTAACAATAATTATGAAATCACTGCAATCGACCTTGCAATCACTTCCCGCCAATCTAATATGAAAGCTTGGGAAGTATAGTTGAAGAACACGGCACGATATGCTAGCACTACGCTTTTCAACA